TTCGCCCAAGTCCCCAGGTGCCGGCTGGCATGGCTTATCTCGGCTTTTGGCTTGGCTTGCCCTCACTTGGCCTAGGTGCGGAGTGGTGTTTGGCTTGGCTTGNNTTAACCCTAAGCCTTAAACCCCAAACCATGTACTGCATACTTACACCAAGAAAGTACTCCAGCCATGCGGGGCCCTGTGTTTCGTGACTTGCCAGCAAGCATAGGCTTTATCGAACACTTGGAGCCCTTCCCATTCCCAGGTAAGGAATCCGCCGTACACTTTGGGGTTTCGGGCTTTTGGTTTTGGGTTGAGGGTTTGGGGTTTGGGGTTTAGGGTTTAGAGTTTAGGGTTTAGGCATGTTCTTGACTTGAACAAGGGGTATTGAAAGCAATTCTATCTGTGGAGGCTCTTTCCTACCAGAAGACCCTAAACCCTCAACCCCTAAACCCTAAACCCCTCAACCCTAAACCCTAAACCCCTAAACCCTAAACCCAGAAAGCCCTTCATTCCAAGGTTGACCGCATGAAGTGGAGCCAAGGAAACCTTAGCGGAACGTTCACAACGGTTTAGGGTTTAGGGTTTAGGGTTTAGGGGTTCAAGGTTTAGGGTTTAGGGTTTAGGGTCGAGGGTTCAAGGTTTAGGGTTTAGGGTTTAGGGTTCCTTAATGCCCAACCCCTGAAGAGCCCGTTCAACGACCCCTTAAAGGAACCCTTACAGTGAAACCCTAAACCCTCAAGACTTAAACTCAGTTCCCCAATACCCAACCTTTAAACTTTTTGGGTTCTTATAACTTAGTAGTAACCTGAAAGTTTAACCTTTTATTTCCCCGGCTTATTGGGGAAGCAAGTAAACTAAACCCTAAACCAACCCTAAACCCTAAACGAAGGTGCAACCTCGACGGCGCACCTGAGGAGTGGCCAACACTTTTGCTTGCAACACTTTGTGGTGTCAGACAAATCCTAACCCCCCAATTACCTACTATATAGGGTACCAGAGCCACTAAGGCCTATAGTAGGCACCTGGAGGGTTAGGGAAATCCCATCTCTTTTGTGGTGTAATGTAAGAGCCTTAATGATTCGAACCTTATTAACCCTAAACCCTAAACCCTAAACCCTAAACCCTAAACCCTAAACCCTAAACCCTAAACCCTAAACCCTAAACCCTAAACCCTAAACGGAGCCCGAGACGCTATTCTGATTGTTAAGGCCCCATTAGTTGCGTTCATCAGAGTTTTGGGTTGTAGGAGTCCGGGTTTACAGGGTTCAGAGGTTTTGACTTTCGGGTTTAGGGGTGTAGAGGTTATTAGCCTCTTGGGCTGGACCCGCTTCAGGGCCCCAAGCCCCTAAAGCCTACAGTTTAGTGATGAACTGAATTGTAGTACCTTTTCACGGACAACAATTTCATTGGCTAGGCTCTGCTACTCGGGAACGGGGTCATCAAAGGTTACTGCAGATACTACAGAAACCCCAAAGCCTCTGAACCTGTCAACCTGCAGCCGAAAAGCGACCCTTGTCTCCGGAAGTCTGCACCGCCACTATAGAGCATGAACCAGAGCTTTCGACACTGTGGCGCGGATTCGCATATTGCGGATTGAAATCGTCCCGCGGCGTGTCTACCTTAGCTGCTGCCATGCCAGGCATGGGTGTCACACGCCCCAAGATAATGTTCGAAGATTCAATTTACATGAATACGCGCGGGGTTCATAATCTAGTGGTGCCCCATTGGAAGTCTTGCTATTTCCAAAGGGTCCTAGGTAAGGTTATGCGGGATACTTTCCCAAATCACATAGGGATTCCTAACATAGAAACCCTACAGTCTACTATATAGGTACTTTGGACCTTGTGGGATTTCGCGTCTCCAAAGTCTAGGACATTTTCAGGTGGGTAGTTACCGTTATGGAAGCCTTATAGAAGGATTATATACCTTATGGAAGCCTTATAGAGGCCCTATATACCCTAAACTCCCCACCTGTAGCTTCCTTTAACTCGCACCCCCATGTGTGCAGGATCTTCAGTCGCGTCGGATCCCCTAATGTAGGAGCCTACAAAATAACCTATACTATTTTGCGGGCCCCTTGTTAAAATGATACTATAAAGGGCCCCAAAACACTATTCTAATTATTGAGGCCCCTATATTAGCCCCAGTTGTTCCCACGAAGCCTTATTGCGACCTCCTGGCTAGCGCTTCAGGGTTCAGGGCTTAGGGGGGCTGCCATTCTTAAGGGTTTAGGGTTTAGGGTGCACTGACGCGTTAGGGTTTAGGGTTTAGGAAAACCCTAAATCGAAGCTCTAGGCACGTCCCACCCATGGCTCCGAACTTGAATTTGCTCATGTGTCTCCGCAGCCTGAGATCGTCAGCGAGTCTTTGTTTTGCCACCCCAACCATATGAACCCTAAACTCTAAACCCTACAAGCCCTAATCCCTATAAACCCTAAACCCTAAACCTCCATAAACCTAATCCCTAAACCCCATAAACGTTAATCTCTGACCCCTGATCCTTAAACCGACAGCCGCCAAAGTCTAAGCCCCGGCGTCCGAAAAGCCCCGGCATTCCATGGAACCTTAACTTTTGTGCCGCCTGTGCCCAAACTCGAAGCATCGATAGTTTAAAGTTTAAAGGGATCTATGAGGGTTTCTATAGGTTTTCTATAAGACCCATGTAGGTGATTCAGGACTTAGTCATAGAGTCTGTCTAGCTGTGGCATACGATGCCTTAAAGCACCAGCTTGTTCTATCTAGAGCCCTATCATACCATACTCACTCAGAGACCCTCTGCCCCACAGCATTCGATAGTGTCAGGCTGCAGGGCTTCCCAAAGCAGGAACTTGCACACCCGAATGGGTTGCTCTCCACGTCGAACGGCGGGATTGGAATTTCCACAGATTAGGGGAACGGTTTAGGGTTTGGAGCATACGGTGGTTTACCTATAGGGTCATACCCTATTATGTTTTTGTATCCAACATGGTCCTACGATGGAAAATAGGATGGTCTTGTGGGAGCTGGTTCCATAGTTGCATTGTCATGTAGAATATATACCCATCTGAACACTGTTTCCTGTCACAGTTGCTTCTGATACGCTGTTTAGGGGTCGGAAACATGTTACCCTAAACCCTAAACCCCTAAACCCCTACACCCTAAACCCTAAACCACATCATGAGGACTCCTGAACATTATCGTACTATGATATACGGAAGCCGCCCTCAACACTAAAGCCCACACCCCGATTCCTGCCTTACAGGCCCCCTACAGTATAAAACCGTTGTAACCCCAACAGAACCTTTTAAAGAACTGTTACCGGAACTAAAACCGTTAAGCCCAATAGAACCTTTTGAAGAACTGTTACCGGAACTCCAGGAGATTAGGGGGTTTGGGGCTTTTTGCTCACTCCTAGGCTTTGACGGCCCCCGTAGTAGCCCGGTTTCTTCGGTTTAGGGTTTAGGATTTAGGGTTTAGGGTTTAGGGCTTGCTTCTTCTAGTTTTCCAGCTTTTCGGGTGACCTGCCCAAGCCACCAAGGTGTTTATGCTTTAGAGTTTGGGGTTTAGTGTTGTATGCTGATCCCGCCTTAGCACCTACACCCTAATCCGGGTGAAAGCTGCTCAAGCTCGATTCAGCTGTCTCACTTTAGGTTACATGCCGGCCTGGCAGATCCAAAACATCTGCGAGCTTCCCCGGACCCCTGTGTATTTCGGCGCCCGAACTTCCAGTCCGATCTACTCCATCAACTCTACGGCGCGAAGCCTTAATATAGGAGCCTACACGGAATTACAAATTCAATGTTATTCCTTATGGTTGCTTCTGATAGGTATACTACCCTAAGGGTCCATGTACCCATATAGTATATACATTGGCCCCAAAGTACCTATATAGGGACTACTTTAAGGCCAATGTATATACTATTTGGGTACATGGAGAATTAGGGGTATAAAGAGGGGCCCGAAACCCTGTTCTAATTAATGAGGCCCCCGCGCTACACGGTTGCTATACACTCAGACCTGACCAGCGCTCTCACGCTTTCCACCTCCCCTGAACCCTACCCTAGACCCTACCTGGACCCCACAAGTATGCAGAATGATAGCCCTTTACGGTTTGGGGGCAGTCTTTTAGCTACTTTTGGCGGGTTTTGGCAGAACCTAAGTCCTAAACCCTAAACCCTAAACCTACGTCCTAAATCCATAAACCTTATAAGCCCCTAAACCCTAAAGTCACCCCACGGCCTCACGGCATCCCGATGCTTGTGATGCATGCGGAGCAAGCCTCAGATCTTGAATAAAGACCAACCTGGTATTCCGTGTCTCCAAACCCTAGAAGCCCTAATCCCTGAGTCCAAAAACCAAACATGAATCCCCCAACTTTGTTCTCATCAATACGGACTCCGAGTTGAAGTCTGAACTTACTTCAAGGATCATGGGACTTAGTAACTGAGGTTATAAACAAGGTAACTATACTTATAACCCCCAATTAGGGTACTTATACCCGAAGCCACTAAAGCCTTCATCCAGCACTCAGCACGGCGCCTGGAACCCTGCAGCCTGACCGTCTAAAAATCCGCTTGAAAAACCCTGGGGGCTCCCTAACCGAACTGTTGTATGTTTAGGGCAGTTTAGGGCTTAGGGTTTAGGGTTTAGGGTTTAGGGTTTAGGGTTTAGGGACACCACGACCTAGTTATTCCGACCCATGAAGTGGATTAACCTCGCAGTTATACAGCCTTCTAAAGCCCCAAAATGCTGCGACAAGCCTTTTCTTAGCCCATACACCCTTACTACATCCGATAAAAGCCCGAAGGATTTTCCCCTGCAGTCTTCGCGCAACACCCACCCCCCGTGCCCCCTTGTCCACAATTCTTGATCGAGGAAGCGGGCTTAAGATGCAAGATGTCAGATATTGTACCTTCAGAACCCAAAACCTACTTTTTTGTAGGGTCCCTACAAATCCCATATTAGGGTTGATAATAAGAACCGACAAAAAACTGGGTTTTGGGTTCTTAAGGTAGGTTTCAACATGCCAGATCTTGCAGGCTTCAACCTCCACGTGACGGGCCATGACTCGGAGCTTGCACAGATGATGCCCATCGCAACCCTGGAGCACAGCCCTCAGAAACTTTCGGGCAGATGGGGGGTTGGAGGTTGTGTTTGATGGGTTTTTGTTGGCGGTTCAGGTTTTATAGGGTTACGGGTCTAGTCTAGGGGGTTAAAGGTTCAGAGCATCAGAGCAGCGATAGTGCGGGGCGTCCAGCTTCAAAAGATTTTGTGTTCCACGAACTACCGTCCAGAATACAAGCCTAAACCCTAAGGGTCCATGTGCCCAACTAGTAGAGCATTGGCCTTAATGTAGTCCCTATATGGGTACATTCAGGGCCAATGTTCTACTATTTGGGTACATGGACCCTTAGGGAAAGCCCTGAACCAGAACGGCTTGAGCTGTAGCAGGCAGCCTAAGCCTTAAATCCTAAACCCTAAATCCTAAACCCTAGGTTTAGGGAGTAGGGTGAGGACCCTAAACCCTAAACCCGTCAACAAAACAGAACGGCTGATCTTGCAGAGTCCGTCTCTTGATCTTCGGGCGAGGCTCCGGGATGCTAGGGTTCATAGGGTTTTGGGTTTTGGGTTTTAGGGTTTTGGGTTTTGGGTTTTAGGGTTTTAGGGTTTTGGGTGTAGGGTTTATAGGGTTTGGGGTTTTAGGGTTTAGGGTTTTAAGGTTTTAGGGTTGAGGGTTTTGGGTTTAGGGTTTTGGGTTTTGGGTTTTAGGGTTTTAGGGTTTTGGGTGTAGGGTTTAGGGTTTTGGGGTCTAGGGTTTTCGGGTTTAGGGTTTGAGGGTATTTAGGGTATTTAGGGTTTTGGGGTTTAGGGTTTTAGGGTTTGGGGTGTAGGGTTTTAGGGTTTTGGGTTCAAGGTTTTGGGTTTTCAGACCAAACCCCAAAAAACCCTGAACCCCAAACCTTGAGCCCTGCCAAACCCTGAAAGTCAGGCACGCGTTAAACCCGAGTCCCTACAAACTTTCACAGAAACCCACGTAGTCCGTCCTTCAAGCCTCCTGGCCCTATGACCCTCCGCCGCTGTCCTGGTGACTCCCACTCTTCTAGTGGTGTTACTACTACATACTAGTAGCATAATATGGTTCTTTCATCTTACTTCCATTATATTGGTGCTTTATATGTTCGCCGCATACCTGTCGACGACTTGCTGATAGGCGTCAGTCCTGTTGTTGAGCTCGCAACATTCTTCATTTCTGTTAAACTCACAGCTTTGCTCTTTGACATCCAGGTTTTTGGCCACGGACGAGGCCGCGATAATGGGTGGGCATGTGGAGGTACTAGCCACACATGGGCCTCGATAAGAATAATGCGGGAGTCTGAGTAACTTTCAATGTACTTGTAGTATCCTTGTAGTAGGAATTAACCCCCCTGTAAATATCATGTTTTCCAGAAGGGCTACCTGATACTTCTAGCATTTGCGCTTGAAACATACCAAACTTTTGCCGGATTAAGTGCTCTCTAGCGTAGCAGTAGCCTTCAACCTTATTGGAGTACTATACTGCCTAATTATAGAGAACTCAGCGGTTGACAGTGTACAACCTGTCCTTCTATTCTAGCCTCCTACACCTTAAGCCACACCGTATACCAGATAACACACAAAAGGCGCGTACGCCTGCACACACATGCATACATCTTTGTATTGTTTATATATACACATATACATACAAGTTTATTCACATGCTGAAGTCCATGAGTACATACAATGGCATCTGTATGCACACCTGTGAACATGTGTGTGTATATATATATATACACATACATACATGCATGCATACATACATACATACATACATACATACATACATACATACATACATACATACATACACACACATACACACACACACACGCACACACATACAGGCATGCAAGCATGCATGCAAGGATGCTTAAACACATCCATACACTACATCTATACATGCTTACATATTTACATATATACATATACATATATGTAGAAACTCTCTCTCTCTCTATATATATATATATACACATACACATGCGTGTACTGGTTTGTGGTTTGTGTATCATCGATGACATGATGTTCTCCCTGCCGTGCTATTCTGCATTCTTGACATCTCTGCAGCAATGAGACCATCAGCCTCATCACTAGCATCGCCATCATTGGAATCTTGATTACCTCGGTAGTGCCACCGATGCTTGTTAGAAATTCCGCCGCTGTCATTGCTGGAGGGTGGAGGGTCGTCAGAAGTAGCATGACTATCAGAACTTCGTTTTCTTGTCTAGCCAGTTACATTCGAATCGATGCTGTTGCTTGCATGTGTCGTAAACCGAAATACCGACTCTGCGCAAGGGTGCATGTTCCCTCATAATATGTACTTGGTCGGCCCTAAAACCTAAACCCTAAACCCTGAACCCTAAACCCTAAACCCTCAACCCCTGGCAGGGGTCAGTTCCCTTGTAGCTACCTTAGGGGCAAAGTGTGTCCTATATGGGCAGTTCTCTAAATTAGGGTTCCTTGGTAGGTCCCCAACATAGTACGGCACCTCTAGCTTAGAGAATTATTATAGGAGCCTGAATAATTATCAATACTATTTTGGATTATAGTTATAGCATAATATACCCCAAAACTAAACCCTATTCTAATTATTGAGGCTTCTGCATTACCCATATAAGTACATGAAGCCGTCGGGCCCGGCATGCCATGTGGGTTCTTTAAGGGTTTAGGGTTTAGGGTTTAGGGTTTAGGGTTTAGGGCACCCTAAACCTAGGAGTCTCCGGCTTCAGGATTTGGGGTTTAGGGTTTTGGGGCTTAGGATTTGGGGTTTAGGGTTTGGGGCTTGGGGTTTGGGGTGTAGGGTTTCGGGCTTGGGGTTTGGGGTTTGGGGTGTAGGGTTTAGGGTTTAGGGCTTGCATGGGGGATAAGAGTCGAGGTCGCAAAATGTTAGAAAATCGGTGGAACTAAACCCTGGGTTTAGGGTTTAGGGTTTAGGGTTTAGGGTTTAGGGTTTAGGGTCTGAACTGTTGCACCCTCTGGTCGTGCACTAAAGGGTTTGCAGCACAAAGCCGGGGCCAAATCTGAACGACGCCTTCCCCGCCTAAACTCCGACCCTAAACCCTAAGACCCTAAAAACCCTAAAACCCTAAACCCTAAACCCTAAAACCCTAAGACCCTAAAAACCCTAAAATCCTAAACCCTAAACCCTAAAACCCTAAGACCCTAAAAACCCTAAAACCCTAGACCACAAAGACCCGAAGCCTCAAACTCGATATCCTCAGCCTTCGAAAACCCTGCTAGAAGAAGCGATCCCGCCTTCAGCCGTCTAGGCTCAGCAGCCGGGAAAGTTGGGCATTGGGTTGAATAGCTCGCAGGGAAGTTCTCTCTGCAGCAGCGGAAAATCGTGGCGCAATCCGGTGGCCGCGATGGACTCATTGGAGAAAGATGGGTGCTCCAACTGCACATGATGTTAAGGTCAGGCTGTTGTGTCTCTCTTGCTAGTCTTATTTTTTTCGTATCACTTTAAGGTACTAGCGTTTTTCCGCATTCAGATCATGGCCGTTGGAATCGCATGCTGATCGTTGCCTCCGATTGATCAGTGAAGACTCGGAAAGATTTCCAATGCTTTACAACAAGTTAATCAGGGAGCAAGACCCTCAACCCTGAACCCTAAACCCTACAGTGCCCTACATAGCAGGTCCCTAATGATCAAGACCCGCCGATGAGGACCCGAGCATGTGCAGTCTCAGAATGGTCTTATGGGGTCCTTCCTGTCTGACCCTCCCACCCAGCCTTCCCGCCAAATAACAACAGAACAGACCATTCCGTGAACAAACGACGAGAACGGTACTCTACTATACTACAGTATACTATACTATACTTTACTCTACTATACCCTACTGTACTCTGCCTTAATCTACGAAGCTATGCTAGTCTCTACTATACTCTACTACGCTCTTTTATACTCTACTATACTGTACTATACTCTACTATACTATACTCTACTATACTATTGCACGGACCCTTTGAGCTCTTCGTTCTGAAGGCAGCATCTCTAAATGATTGTTCTTCCCAGAGACCTAGTTCCGTTTTTGCAGAGCGGCTGCCCTTCTTTGCAGGCACCAGGGGTTGATATAGGGTCGTAAATAATAGCTACCAGCAGTTGTTGGGGGCTTGCTTTTTAGAGCCATAGCAAAATATACCCCAAGCCCTATTTTTACTTTTAAGGCCGCTACATTATCCTATCCGCACGAAGACTTAAACCCTCCACCAACCCTTAAAGTATGTTTCGAGGTCTGGGTGTTGCCCTGGGACGAGCGGGCTTTGCCGGGTTTGGGATTCAGGGTTTTCGGGGTCGTCATATATTTGGGTTGAGGGTTATCGGGCGTATTGGGGAATTCGGGCTCGTGGCTTAGGGTGTTACGGGTAGGCGTCATGCAGGGATCGGGGTAGATATACCCATCTAAATAGCATCACGGTCCGCCTACGTATGGTACACTTTCGTGTTCCTCTTCCGGAGCTTCGAGCCTGAAAATCGCCAAAGGCCAGTGCAGTCAAGATAAATGGAAGCCTTCGCATAAAAATCGCCCAAAAGCCCTACTTAATGGGGGTCTTTGGGCCCAAAAGCCTGAACATATGAGTCCTGTCAGGGTAAGCAGAGAGGTGAGGGAGACCATATTTGGGGCCTCATGTTCGTCGGTTTCGGAGCTTGGCTCCAACTTGGGGTTTAGGGTTTAGGGTTTGGGTTTAGGGTTTAGGGTTTAGGGTTTAGGGGTTTAGGGGTTTAGGGTTTGTGGTTCTGGGGGCGTAGGACCACACCCAGAAGGACTTCATGCTTAATGAACTTCTTGCGGACCTACGGCAACTGCGGTTTATGGTTTAAGGTTTGGGGTTTAGGGGTTTACGGTTTAGGGGGCGACCCGAACATCTACCCTGTACCAAAGCATCTTGTGTGTGGAATGAGCCTGTCCGTCGATATGCATGGGTAGATCTTAGCACACTAGAATCAAAGCCCCCAAGGTGCCAAAGAGGATAATCCCCAACCTCTAACCCCTAAGCCCTGAACCCTGAACCCTAAACCCCAACCTTAAAGCCCTAAGCCCTAAACCCTCTAGCTAGCGTTAAACCCCCCATAGCTCAACAAACCCGGAAGTCTGAGGCCTCAACACATCCACCCCCTCACTCAAAGCATTTTGGAGCCGTTCCCCCTGAACCCTAAGCCCCTTACTCTTGCCAAAAAGCCCCTCAACAATGAACGCTAGACCCTAAACACTAAGCCTACTACAGGTTGGAGCAGGTTGTGCAGGAGCAGAATGATATTCTGCGGCGTTTCATGGAGGTGCGTTTTGAGTGAGGTCTGACGGTTCAGGGTACAGGGTATACCTGAACCCCAATCAAAGGAATGTAGAAGACTTATAGGCTTTGGACTATTATCTTACCTACTTTTGGGGGTTTAGGCGGTGTGGATCGGGGCTCAATTTAGGGCTTTCGGGCTTGTGAGTTTGGGTTTCAAAGGCTTTGGGGAATTGGGCCTGGGTGGCTTAACAATGTTTCCGTGAGGGATTTAGTTTAGGGTTTAGGGGCCCCAAACCTTAAAACCTACACCGCTTTAGGGCTTTGCCGATGATGTTCGTGTTAACTTGTTCTGGAGCTTCTGCGCTTCAGTGATTTTTGAAAGTCTTAGGGTTTACGGTTTAGGGCTGCTATAGCAACATGAAGGGGTTCGGCTTTTCCTTTTGACGATACTCCGGACCCCTTTAGTTCCCTCTACAGAGGCCAGTCTCATATATCATATATATATATATATGTATATACATAGATACATACATACATACATACATACATACATACATACATACATACATGCATACATTCACATACAGACACATACATACACATACATACA